AGAGGGGTGCGGAGCCACAAAGGGCTTAAGCCAAAAGGGTGGGTTTTCCACAAGGTCCTGCCATATTATAATGTATGGGAGCTGATCGGGGTAACCTGTCTTGGGTTGAGAGACGACTCCAAACCCGGCGAATGGTAGGGAGATCGAATGTTCCCTCTGGTGGCCATCCGACATTGAAAGTTGGCCAATCACTTGAACAACAAGTCTGCCAATCGTTCTTCCAGACCTCCATACTAAAATCGTTAGCTCTTTCCTCTACTTCCTGGAAATGATTAATCACAATGCTCAAAGGAGTAATCTGAGTCTATCCCATAATATCCATAGAGTGAGTCCATAAAATAACACATAAATTACAACAGCCACCAGGAGAAGAACTCCCCACATCAACATTTTCAGTATTATAACAATTCAATACATTCAGATTTGTTTTTATAGCAAATTTACAAACAAGAGCAAACTGAAACCTTTCCCTATACAAACATACAAACAAACAAAGAACACAGGAACAGACTGGGGCCCCCAAGAACAGCCTTCCAATTCCGTGGAAGCGATGCCTAAAACTAAACGATGGCCTCACGCCGACTACCTCGTCCTGAGTGGGAATTCTATGTCCTTCCTAAAGGAGGATCAAAACGTCTTTTGATCTCTCCGGCCCGTGGCCTTCAATAGCGCATCCGCTAGACCTTTCGGGCACTTCCCACAGGGATCCCTTCACACACTTCTTCCGCGGCCAGACAGGCTCTCCGGATTCAGAGTCCCTCAGTCTTAGAGATCGCAGACAAGGCCCCATATGTAATGCCCAAGTCTCATAAACCCCAAAGACTACCAGGGAGCCAATCCGATGCAATTGCAGAAAGCCTGTATTTATTTCGGACTAGTCCGAGCTCAGTCCCACTTACACCAGCGAGGGCATGGTGAGAAAGAGAAAGAACTTAACATATCAATGGGTTTTATAGGGAGGGTGGTGCCACTACCTTGGCTGACTTGATTGGTTGGGTTAGGGCTAGGGTCCAGTTACCCGGAGCTGGCCCCACCCCACGCTGCCCTCTCACCCCACCCTGCCCTCTCACAACAATTTTAGTTTACTCTGTAAAAATTAATGAAAAGGATTATGTGCATCCTTGAGAAAGCCCTGAGCATTCCTGGATTTAGGCTATAATTAGATATAGGACAGTCGCCACCAGCCACTTCTCTGTTGCTTGGGTCTCAGTATGAGCTGGGCTGAGTCTCTTGTTTGTAGCTGGGTCTCAATCTGAGCTGGACATGTGAAGCAGCCATGGGACAGGAGACCTCCCTCAGAAGGGGCGAGTGTTCAAGCCCCTGCAACGTTGGAGGGTGAGGATCTGTGTCCCTCCTCTGTTGAGCCCCATGTTCTCTCCTGATGGCCCCCTGCGACTGTGCCTGTCTTAGGTTGCCCCTCCCTTGAGAAGTCTTACCCGTCATTGACTAACCAGTCATCCTCCGGGGCCAAGCAGGGTGATGTGAGGTTCAGTTCTGCCTCCTTGGTAGCCTATGCCCCTACGGCCTCCATGTCCAGCACCTGCCTTGGGATCCCCTTGCCTGTTGGCGGGGCCCTGACACACAGATCACATATCTTGGGGAACCCAGGTTTTTGTTTGTTTGTTTGTTTTGTTTGTTTTTTGAGGGAAGGCCCAGCTCACGCCATTGTGCGAGAGACAGATCCATGGTACCATTCACCATGAGGCTTCAACCTCAGCATGAACTGAAAACTCAAGCAACAGTTGTGGGCAATTGAATAGTGAGAAGAAGGTTCCTCTTTGCAAATAAGGCAAGAAGGGCCAATACAGGATGATCTAGTGCCTTCCCAGTGAGGCTTTCCACACAGTGGAAGGAATTAAATCCTTTCATGTCCTTTTAAATTGCTGCCAAACATTAAAAAAAAAAAAAAAAAATAGATTTTTAAGTTTGTTTGGAATAATTGTACAATATGCTGTTGTAAAATCTCAAAAATAATAATGACATTGTAGAATAATACCATGCAATTTCAAATATATTATATCTGTTTCAAAAAGTTTTCCTTTAAGAAGAGAGAATAAATTTATTGTATTACTCCAGGCCCTTGGAGCTTTTCAAGAATCATCTCTGTTAAGGCCTTGAAATTTTAACATGGAAAAAAACATCAAACAAATATTTATATCCATATATGGTTTACTAAGTTTTTGCATCAGCCATTTATAACCAAGCTTGTTATCTACTTCCTGCTGGTTACTTGCCTCAAGGCGGGAATTTCAAAAGGGACCGCTTAAAATGCCGTTCTCCCGGTTCATCTTTGCCATCTTTAAAGCTAAAAAATTTAGAGTTTTTAATTCTGCACTCAGAAAAGAGTTAAGTCCAGCTCAAAAACTATGTGCACTCATTTTTTAAACTGGCCTTTTCGCTTCTCATGAGCACAGAAATTCCCGATGCATTGTGAATTTGTAAAAGCTTTAAGTCACTAGCTGGAAAAAGAAAGATGGCGAATATGAGGCCTTTTATGGTGGCTTTCTTGGGGAGTGGCGTTCATATTGGATCACCACGTGTCTTCCTTTCTCCCACATCCTGCTTACTTTAGGGGAAGTTTCGGCAATGGTCTGGCACCTACTTTTTTTTATTTTATTTTTTTTTTTTACTTTTTCAATTTTTATGTATTTTTTTATTTTTAAGGAAAGAAAGATTTTAAGATAAAGAATTATTGGCAGTTGCTGAGAAATTCTTTTAATCCTTTCTACCTGCTTACAAGTAGTTTACACATGGAGGTGAAGATGGTGCAGGTGGTATTCTTAAAGATTCGCACCCTTCCACTCTAGGCTGTAAGGCCATGGCTGTACCCCACTTAGACATTCTTGAACTCTCCTGTGCTGAATCAAGATTATCATCAATTAAAATAGGAATTTTCTCTGGACTTTCTGCTGAGTATTGGTCATGCAACTGCTTTCTGAGATTTTCAAACTTAAGAAAGAAATCAAGAATTTGACTACACTTAACAAAGCATCTATGAACTTTGAGCATAGCCTTAACTTATAAAGATTACCCAATGTTTTACACCTAGTTTAATTCAAGTTAATTCACAATATACAATACACTTCCCTAAAACTTACCTTAATCTGTGCACACATCATGGAAGCAACCCCCTCACTTTTTCCTCCATACTCAGGTCCCTGTTCAGGGTGCCATTTGTGGTGTTTCTCCTTTTTCTACATCCCGCACGGAAAAATGACAGGTTCCTGAGGGGAGGACCTGGGGATTAAGAAATTAGAGAAAGAAAGAGACAAGAGACAGAAAGATTCATAAAGCTGGGAGCTAGGTGGGGGTGGGTGATTGTCTCATAGCTCCCAGCTTTATGAATCTTTCTGCCTCTTGTCTCTTTCTTTATCTAATTTCTTAATCCCCAGCTCCTCCCCTCAGGAACCTGTCGTTTTTTCCCCGTGCGGGATGTGGAAAAAGGAAAAACACCACACTATGGCCTGCCTTTTTTTTAAAAAAAAAAAAAATAATAAGATAGCCCTGACTGGTTTGTCTCAGAGTGTTGGCCTGCGGACTCAAGGGTCCCGGGTTCGATTCCGGTCAAAGGCATGTACTTTGGTTGCGGGCACATCCCCAGTGGGGGGCGTGCAGGAGGCAGCTGATTGATGATTCTCTCTCATCTATGTTTCTTACTCTCTGTCCCTCTCTCTTCTCTCTGTAAAAAATCAATTATATATATATTCTTTAAAAAAGAAGAAAAGAAAAAATAAAGATATACTTCACCATACTCATTTGTTCTATATAGTTTTTTTTTTAATATGTTTTTATTGATTTTAGAGAGAGAGAAACATCAACAATGACAAGAAAATCATTGATTGGCTGCCTCCTGCACTCCTCCCACTGGGGATTGAGCCTGCAACACAAGCATGTGCCCTGATCAGTAATCGAACCATTAACTCCTGGTTCATAGGTCAGTGGTCAACAACTGAGCCACTCCAACTGGGCTGCTTTATACTGCTTTTGAGCTATAGTGGCAGAGTTGAATATTTGCAAGAGAGGCCATTATTAACCAGAGGCCATTATTTATTTTCTGGGTTTTTATAGAAGTAGTTTGTCAGCCCCAATATAGGAGCATCAGTATAACTTGATATTTTAACTCTTTCTAGAGTTAAATTACTCTATAGTGATTTTTATTTTTATTAGTGATTAAACTCAAGCAGATCTTCTAGAAATCAGCATATTTTAGGAATAGTAATTTTTTGTTTTGAAATTGTCAGTAAAGTTCAAGTCTGTTGTAGAGGGTTTTGCCATGCTTTTTTCCATAACAAAAATGCTTGAGAAGCTCTATTTTCTTTTGAAAAATTAAGATGTGATCTGTACCATAGTTTAGAAACTGCCTTTTGTTATTAGAAGAGCTTTTTATGGTCAAAGGGGAGAACTTTCATATGTATCCCTTTGCTTGTTTCAAATTATTCTGTGTCATCTAAATGCCGTTCCTGAGTTGAAGAATATACTATTTTCCTGCATCTTTGAAAATTGCTCTGAAATAGAACCATTCTAGTAAACAAATTAATACTTTTTAATGGTTTCCTAATGAATAGTTATACCAAAGTTTCTCACAGGTATTTTGAAGATAGAACAAGAAGTACGTAATGTTTGATAAAACCAGCTCTTCAGGGGTATCTATAATCTTAGAAAAAATAGTGCATCATTTATTCATACCTCAGGTTATTTGATTTTAGGAATTTAGCAACTTAACTATAGTGACTCCATTTTATTTCTTCATTCTTTCCTCACTAAGTTGTATATTTTTATAATAAACTGGTAATTTAGTAAATAAAAAAAGAACAATAGTACATTTAAAAAGCATTGCTGTGGAAAACTGAGTATTGGTGGCAGGTTTTTATATGCTTATGTCACCATCAGCCTCTTTGTCCCTTATGCTTGGGAATTAATATAAATAATTGCTTGATGTGCTAGCAAATCTTGCATCAGAATTTAATTTGTCATTTTTTATTTTCTAACTTGTGTTTCAGTGCAATAGACTGTTAAAGTGGTGTCCTGCCCCAGATTGCCACCATGTTGTTAAAGTCCAATATCCTGATGCCAAGCCTGTTCGCTGCAAATGTGGGCGCCAATTTTGGTAAGCAAGGGATTTCTTAAATTGGAATAGTGGGCATTGCTTTTTCTATTTATTCTTAGAAGTAAAATAGAGAATAAAATTTTACCTGAGGAAGGAGGGAAGTAGGTATTATTGGTTTAAAATAGTGTGTATTTCTTTTAAATAACAATTAGATTTAAAAGTCACTCCTAAATAGCTTTCTTCTTTCCTTAATGATCAAAGTTTTATATCTGATGGTAAAAAGTACAGTTATAATCTCATTTTCCTGTGTGTTCAAGTAGAACTTAAATGGAAACAAGCTTATAGACCTGGGACAAGAATTCAATTATTCTCATTTCTGATTGCTTATTTTGTCAAATTATGTTTGGTTCCTTTATGGCTCTTGCTCTGTTTTAAAGTTATCTCTTAGGAATAAAATATACAATCCGGACTTTTTAAAAATCTCCTTTGCTCTGACAAGTTTAATTATTCCTAAGAAGAAAATGTTCAGGAAAATTTGGAATGGTAGAACATGCTTAATTAGATATGCTTTTTAACTAAGAGTTTTCCTATGGCTCCTCTGGCCCCAGCTTTCTTCATAACCTGGGTTCTTGGAATTCTATTGCATACACTTCAGCCTTTGGATTCTAGATTCAACTTACCAGGGAATTTTCAGTTATACCATATATTAGAGAACTAAGATGACCTTCCATTCCTTTGTGGATCTGTTAGGAATGAGAAGCCAGTCAAGCCAAGGGGCTTTAGAGCTAGCAAATAGATACTTCATTGGTATTGCATACTATTCTTTTTTTGTTGTTGTTGTTATTTTTGTTCAAATATCTATAGAATTAGACTTACATATCACTAATATTAAATATTTCCAAAAATAGCAGGTAAACTTACAGGCATTAAATAGGTGTAAAATATATGCTGTTTTGGTAATTATTAAATATACATTATTGTTTATAGTTTATCAAGTAGTGGGGGTGGATTCTGATTCCATACCTACTTTCAAATATATTTTTAGTGTGAAATATCTTAAATACAGATTAAAGTATAAAAAATAAGAGCAATGAATACTTATGTAACTATAACCCAGCTTAATCAAAATCAGTATTTTTTTTAAATATATTTTATTGATTTTGTACAGAGAGGAAAGGAGAGAGATAGTTAGAAACATCGATGAGAGAGAGTCATTGAATAGCTGCCTCTTGCACACCCCCTACTGGGGATATGCCCGCAACCAAGGTACATGTCCTTGACCGGAATCGAACCTGGGACCTTTCAGTCCCCAAGCCGATGCTCTTTCCATTGAGCCAAACCGGTTTCAGCAGTATTTTGTTTTTAATAAGAAATAAAACATGACAGATACGTTTGAACCCCTTTGGTTTCCTTCTCCACCCCATTTCTCATCTTTTCTAGACATAACCATTATCTTGACTTCGGTTAAATGAATAGCACTTTGTTTCTGTTATTTGCAAAGGATTTTTTGCTTCCCTAAATTACTTTATTAGATAACTTATCAGCTATTTCCTAGTTATGTTTTCATAAAATTTGTGTTTATTCTTAATTTATACTTTTTTCCAAATGTATATACCATTTGCCTAGAAAACAAAAGGCATTAATAATTAGTATATTCTTAGAGAATACGTAGTCACATTCTTTTATTTTACACCTTTTTGGTACAGTTTACCTCTACCTGACTGATGTTCATTTGGATCATGCAAACAGTGGCCTGTTTGCTTCCCATATATTGCTTATGGTGCAATAGTACTAAGTTACATATTACCTTACAATGCCAGACTTTTATTCTTTATTTGGGGTGTTAAATAAGACAATATATGCTATTGAAGCATGGTTGACATTTAAGTTGAATTTAATGAAAATTATTTCAATTTGGCTTTAATTAGAGAATAACTGTACTGAGAAGCCATCTTAAAAACTATCAGAAAACTATAAATAATCTGATTCATTTAGATAGTCATTTGTTATGAAATTATCATCTAAGCATGTCTTCATGCTTATAGCCATTCTCCATTCACACACGCGCACACACACGCACAATACTCTGATCCTAATATTAAATTCTAAATAATTTATTGTAGAATAAAATAGACATAGTTCCTACCTTTTTATTTGCCAGTCACTGGAAACTGGTGAAACTATTGAGGAACTTTAGAGGATGAAGTTGTTTGTGTGCTTACATACTTTACAGTAGGTGGTACTTAATTCTTTTAACTCTTATGTCACTTAACAGTTTTAACTGTGGAGAAAATTGGCATGATCCTGTTAAATGTAAGGTAAGTTTGGGATTTTCATTTTTAAATAACAAGGAGCACTTCTAAGACTTGTTTACTGAAAACTACAGCCCACAATTTTGTTATCTATCCAGTAATAAAGATTTTATTTTGCCCTTTTTATTTCAAATGATCATTACATTAAATGATCATTATAGAGCATTTCTTAGGAATAGTCAACTCCTGATATCAGGATAATGATAGTTAAGGCACCTTCCTTTAGTAGGCTTTGTATTTGGCTAAGGGGAATTGCACACCTTGGAGCTGAAATTCTAATCAAGCTCTAGGTTCTCCATTCTATTCAGCCTGAGAAAGTCCTCCTTTGGTTTCATTTTTATATACTTGATATTAAAACTATAGGATTTCCTTGATTTAAAGGGAAGTAAACCCAGTAATAATATTGTCTTTTGGGTTTTATATGTAAGTTTGACTGAATATGTATTGAAGTGATTTATATAAAGTCTTTTGTTGTAATCTAACAGTTGTTCTGTGTGTTTTTCCCAAACAGTGGTTGAAGAAGTGGATTAAAAAGTGTGATGATGACAGTGAAACCTCTAATTGGATTGCAGCCAACACAAAGGTTGGTATTTTCCTTCAGTAAACTTGTGGTAATGAACTGATAAGGACAGGTACATCAGCATTAGCAAAAAACAGTAAGTTTACCTGGTTAAGGGCCTTGTTTTACCTTTTTCTCAATTACAGTTTTTTTATTTTGTTTTGTTTTATCCAGAATTATTGCCTATTAATTTTTTCTTTATTTTAGTTTTGAGTTTATTTTATTGAATACTATAGTGTAATATGCACATGACTCTACTTTAAAATTTTTCTTTTCATGGAAAAGCATTAGTTTCCTATAGAAGAAAAAGCTGATAATTTTTCTACCCTGACATTTATTATATTGCTTTTTCTTATTGTTCTTGGCTTCCTTTTAGTATACAAATGTGGTGTAGAGTTTATTCCACCTAGCTTGGTTTTATTAGGCTAATTTGCATTTCTGCCTTTAAAAATTCTCAGGAATCAATTTAAGGGATTATTTTTTTAGAACAGCATTTAGTCAGAGTAACTGAATAACTTTTTATTATATAACATTTTTAACATGTTAAACTTATATAATATGACTTATTATGAGACCTGATTCTTAAGAAATACAAATGTAGGTATAATATGGGTATCCCTTGACTTTTATATGTGGTGTGCGTCTTGTTTTATTTTTAAGTGCATTGCTCAGGATACTGGTCTCTTTATGACCCTGAACCACTTCTAGACACAAATCTTACAAATGCAAGTAATCTTGAACACCCTTGTTTCCTATCACTAAGTAATAAAAAAGCATTTGAACCCCAACTGTGTACCAGCCAATCTCTGAATAGAAAAAAAATTCAATCTTATATCTTATCCAAATAGGAAGTGACTTAGATGATGAATGATAAGGTTATTAATGAGCTGTTCATTTTTAGTATTGCCTTTCAAATGTGAAGAAGATGCTTTAAATCAGTGGTTGCCAACTGGTGGTCCATGAGGTCTGAAAGGTTGGCAACCACTGCTTTAAATAATACTGAGTTGTTTAGCCTATGTTAGTTATAGCTTTGCACAGGACAATAAGAGTAAGGAATGCTTAAATGATGAAGGCTAACACATAATTTTATAACAATAGTATCCTGTTCTACCCTCCAAAATTAAAAATGCATATTTATTTATTTCTTTCAGAAAGCATTAGCAGTGAAACTTAAGTCCTTTCACATGGTACAACACACACATCTTTGAGGACTGTATGGTTGAAATATTTTTGTGCTCTCTAAAACCATCATGATAAGTATTATAAGGCTTTTAGGAGTGCATTGCTGAAAACCTTACTGTAGTGACAGGAAGTGTGGTTACTTTTGTTATTTTAAAAAATTTCCTAGCTTGTCTCATTTTTTGAAAATTGAGGATTTCTCCACTAGATATGTTCATTAAAGCCTCAGAATCCTTAAATATTCTTTGTAAAACTAGTGTTTAGAATAGGACAGCTATATTTTCATTAGTTTGTTTAAACTCTCACCCACTTTCTACATCTAAAAAAATCACAAATACTCTTAAACCCCCAAGATGTTTAAAGGAGGGAATATATGTTTGAATATGCTTAATTAGAAGATAGATTATTGAGGAAGAATAGTAATCTTATATAATAAAAGGCTAATATGCAAATCGAACAAATGGCAGAATGACTGGTCTCTATTACACACACTGATCACCAGGGGGCAGATACCCACCGGGGAGTGCCCCTCAACCTCTCCTGTCTCTGTGGTAGCGCTAAGGATGTCCGAGAACTCCCAGGTCGGGAGAGGGCGCAGGTCAGGCTGAGGGATGGACACGCACACACCTGAGTGCATGAATTTTGCACACCAAGTCTCTAGTTTGTAATAAGAAAGTTACCTACTTGGTGGGTTTTTGTTTGTTTTTTATTTTTATTGATTTCTGAGAGGAATGAAGAGGAAGAACAAGATAGAAACATCAGTGGTGAGAGAGAATCATTGATTGGCTGCCTTCTGCATGCCTCCAACTAAGTATCAAGCCCAAAACCCAGACATGTGCCCTGACCAGGAATGAAATCATAACCTCCTGGTTCTTAGGTTGATGCTCAGCCACTGAGCCGCACTTGGCTGGGCTCAACTTGGTAGTTTTGAGGTGAAGGCGAAGAGGTTTTTTTTTCTTGAGAAGTTTCAGAAACTTTTATTTGTTATCATCTCCTTAAACAGATATGCAGGTTGTTGATGGTATCCTAACATATTGAGAACTTCATACTACTTGGTTAATTATAACGAAGATACTAAGTAGAGTGAAACATATTTTAGGCCTGGAACTTGCTTCTTTGAGAAAATGTACAATTTATTAAAAATTTGATTTTGATTTAACCCATTGTACACCCTAAGTGTCTGTAGATGCAAGAAGTAGACCTTCCCTACACGCCACACACATCTATAAAACAAAATGTCTTCCCTAACTGGCAGCCCTGACCGACTTTAAAATCATTTTTTGCGATAATTTTAGCTGAAAATATTTAGGAACATCTGAATTGTGAGTAATATTTTTATAATATTTATTGCAAATTGATTTTTTCAATTAAATTTAAAATACCATGGCGTGTGGGGATGGTTTTCGTTTTTTGCGTGGTAGTTAACTGGTTAAAATGTATGATTAAAAATTGACATTGACTTATTTCAAATAACTGTAGTTTATGGACAGTGTAGTCTGTTTCACAAAGGCTGAATTGTATAAATAATATAATGAGTACTACTTCCGCCTTGTGGTAGTTACAGTCTTCAAACAAATACAGCAAAAACACAGCTTTATATCTTTATTTTCTTTTAAATAATGGGTATTTGGTTTTTCTAGATTTTTTTAAAAGACAAAAACAGTAGGCATGCAACTGTAACTTTGGCTCACTAGCAAAAAAGAAAATGATACAAGGGGGAAAGGTCATAACTTGTGTAGTTATAAATGGACCACAATGAGAAGAATTTAAAGCAAGAATATTAGGCAGAAGGAAGTTGGGAACCTCAGTAGCCACAAAAATAATTTACAAGTTCCACTTGCCTATTGAGCCTATTGAGGCCAAATTGCTTGTGTGTGAATCCTTACTCTATCATTTGCTACCTTTGTGAACTTTGACTAGTTTCTTTGTTTTCTCTCCCTTAGTTTATTCATCTGAATAATGGAAATAAGAATAGTACTACTATAATGATTATAAATTAATGCATATAAAACACTGAGAACAATGTGATATACAAGAAGTACTCAATAATTATTTTTAGATGACACGTGAGAGAGAACTATATTTACATGAACAAACTTTTATCTTCCATAAAACAATTATTACTGTCTATGGCTAAAAGTACTTTAAAAATATTTTGTCCGCCAACCCCACTAAAATCCTTAAATTCTTGTGCATCTTAACAGACAGTAATAATGATAAAGAGCTCATTTTCAGTAGTGCTTATTAATTATTCCATGCTGTTCTAAGTGCTTTTCATGTATTAATCACAATAAATGTGATATCAAAAATAAACCAAATCTAGAATGGGCTTCTTCTCAGTGGTAATAATACAACCTAGTGTAGCATTGACACCAACTTTATAGTTTCTCTTCATAGGAATGTCCCAAATGCCATGTCACAATTGAGAAGGATGGCGGTTGTAATCACATGGTCTGTCGTAACCAGAACTGTAAAGCAGAGTTTTGCTGGGTGTGTCTTGGCCCTTGGGAACCACATGGATCTGCCTGGTAGGTTGGGGAAATGAAGGGAAGGATATGTTCACATAAGTATGTGATAAATGCTGCATATTATGAATAAAGTTTTTACCTCATGGAAATCACCATCTAACTTGGAAGCTAGCTAAATGAATACAGTGTGTGATTAGTGTAAAAAGTAGTTCAAGATATCCAGAGAGAAGGATTAATTAGGCATATTTCACAGATGAGGTAATAATTGAGATGAATTTTAAGGAGGACTAAGTTCATTTGGTTGAAAAAGTGTTAGGAAAACATTCAGGATAAGAGGAGCAGCATGGACAAAGGTAGAATGATGTGAACATGCATGATTTATTCAGAGAAGAGTTGCATTGTCTGATATGTCTTTCTCCAGACAACAGTTGAAGAAAACTAAGAGACTGATGGCAAAACCCAGCATGCAAGAGTGTTTTGCCCTGTCAAAAAGTTTGTCCCAAATTTGGAAAATTACCCGATGCATTTCAGATTTTTTACTTCTTTTTGAAACATAGGCACAGGCCGGCATGTCTGTTTGGCAGCAATCACCTGGAATTAATGGCTAGCCTTTCCTTTTCAGTTATGTTTCCCCAAAACTAAAGTTTAATAGCATTTGCATTTATCATGATGGCACTAACCACATTTTAGTAGAAATATATACCTTTGCTCCATGCATATTAATTTAAAATATATATATATTAATATATTTTATTGTTTTTATTACAGAGAGGAAGAGAGAGGGTTAGAAACATCGATGAGAGAGAGACACCCCCTACTGAGGATGTACCCGCAACCAAGGTACATGCCCTTGACCGGAATTGAACCTGGGACCTTTCAGTCCGCAGGCCGACACTCAAACCGGTTTTGGCTAAAATATATTTTTATTGATTTGGAGAGAGGAAGGGAGAGGGAAAGAAAGATGGAAACATCAATGATGAGAATCATTGATCAGCTGCCTCCTACACACCCATTACTGGGGATTGAACCCTCAACCCAGGCATATGCCCTTTACTGGAATCGAACCTGGGACCTTTCAGTCCACAGGCTGCTGCTCTATCCACTGAGCCAAGCCCATGCATATTTCTTACTGATTTGGAGAAATGTAAGTTAGACTGAGAATGCCATCAATTTTGAGAAAAATAGGAGTTAGTACATCTTTTGGTAAAAGTGAAAATATTTAAGTATCATAATATTCAAATGACCTGTTTCACTGATTTATCTGCCTATCCCCTATTGGTCTTTGACTTTGTGGTCCCTCATAAGTTGCGGAGAACAGGAAAAGAGAACGTAGACTGAGAATAAAGTAGTTTGAACACTATCAGAAGGAGTTTAGAGACATAACATGAATCAGGTCTGTAAATAGATGAGAAAGCTCTCTCTTATGTTCTTAACATTGTCTCATGATTGTGGCTGCTTTATAGTGGGTGAGTGGGAGGGAAATAAATTGTAGGTTCAAGTTCAGATGACAAAGATATGAACTTCAGACAATAGCCAGTCTTCTCTGTTTTATTGGAACTTTCAATAATTTCATTAACTAGAGGAATAGTATGAGGAGGGATTACTTTAATTCCAAGCCAGGTAAAAATTAATTGAAAATAAAGAAAGTGATTTTGCTACTGTCAGAGCCATGAAAGGGTGTTTGGGTTTTCACCAGACAGATATTCTGAATTTTAAGAAGGCAAACTATGATTAGAATGTTCAGAAACTAATAAATTCAGTCTAGTATATTTTTTAGCCTAATGAAGAGGAGAAGGAATGTGGAAGAAGAGTTATTAAAGAGATGTATTTTTGTGTTTAAGGTAATCTCTGATCACAACTTAAATTTTAAATGAGCTGTATTGAAAACCAAAAGGTACAAAACAAATGGATACCAAAGAATAAACAATGGCCTGGATCGGGGTGTCAGAAATGTAGTTTGAACAATATCAGAAGGATTTTAAGGGCATGACATGATCAGATCTGTTATTTAGATGAGAAAGATCTCTGTTATGTTCTTACACACATTATCTCATGATTATGGCTGCTTTGTAGAGGAGAGGGTGGATGGGAGGGGAATAAATTGTAGGTTCAAGTCCCAATGATAAAGATACGAACTTAAGACAATGCTTTTTGCCATGGCTATGATTACAAATGAAATGCTCTGCTTTCTTGTTTGAATCTGAAAATGCCTCAGAATCTTCAAAATAGTATTCCAAGAAAACTTTATCAGTTTTCTAAGTTAGAAGTATAGATGATTCCTATTTGCTCTTCTGCTTTAAAATCCTTAATAATGTAGGCAGAGTAAAGCCCAGAATGAGGTTTATAAATATCTAATAAATAAATAAATAAATAAATAAATAAATAAATAAATAAATAAATAAATAAATAAAACAAAAAGGAAAAACTTTAAGGATTATCAGATTCTAAGAAGAGGTGTTAATATTTGACCAGTAGAGGGCAAGGAGGGGTGATCTTTGGGCTAAAGTGAGTAGGGTAATTATTGGTAAGAGAAGATTATAATCCAATCTGGGGGAAAATTAATGAATCTCCTGACCAAGGTAAATTATGGTCTGGGTTATTTTAAAAATTTGAAGATGAGCTCAGTGAGACATTGTTGGTCTGAGTAATTTTGGAAAATAAAGAGATACCAAGACTGGAAGCAGACAACATATGTAGTTCAAGTTTCAAAATTTTGTGATTCCACAAACTACATATGAGCCACATAACTTTAATTTTTCTCTTCTGTTAAATCCCAGAATCCAATGGTATTATTAGGATGATGGATTAGGGAATGTTTTACTGATCTTAGTAAGATATTTCATTGTAAACTAAGAAGTTTGTGGCCTGGGCTGTGAATATAGAGAGGGAGGGATATTTGGGATTAATTAAATGATATCTTGGAGTATAGATAATGGATTTGTGTCTTTCTAAGCCTAATGGAATGCTTCATTGGTTTGATGAAAGGCTTTGTCCTTCTCTGTTTTGTTTTGTGGTTTTTTTCCCTCTACATGTATACTACTTTTCTGATCAGTTTCATTGATGAAATTCTTAAACTAATATTTCATTTGGGTTAACATCAAAGAGAGATATTCACAAAGATCACTGTTAAAAGTGTCTGGAGACATGACAACAACAAGTGAACAATGTACTCACTTGTTAAGAGCATGGTTGGCATGCATGAATTTAATTCCCAGCTCTGAAACTGTATTTTTGCAACTTTAGTTTTTACCTATTGTCTCAATTTTTACCTAGTTCTTTATCTACTCAGTGAGGACGATAATAATACACATTTTGTAAGATGGCTGAGAATTAAATGTGATAATACATTTAAAGTTCTTAGTAAGTGTATTGTATATTGTAAGCACTCAATAAATACCAGCTGCTTTCATAAATAGGCTCCCATAAAAGAAGAGATAGAGAGTAAGCAGGACAAGGGAAGTGCCTATCTTATTCATCTCCACTGACTTCTCTTTCCTCCAGCTCCTCACTTTATATATCATTCAGTTTTCAGTGATACTTATAAATTGTAATAGCATATACAGCAAATAGCAATAGTATCTATTACTATTGTGGTTCATCAACTATTAATCTATAAAAGAAAAGAGAAGGTGAGTAAAAGTTGCAAAAATACAGTAACTCTAGAAAATTGGAAATGTTTGGCCTATATAATAGCCTAGGAGATGAGATGATCCCTTTCTTCAGAAATAGAGTTAGAAGTTCAAATTTCAGTCAGTAAATGGAAGTTCTAGAATGACGGCATTTTCTAATGATTATAGGTGAGCTGATTTGGAATGGACTAACCCAGAAAGTAGGAAATTCCCTATTATCAGACAGAGGACTGATACTCTATTACAGAGAGAATTCAAGCACTGGGTATGGATTAGATTTAACACTGAGCACCTTTCAGTATAGTAACTATCATTATAATGATAGAATCCTGGGTATTTAGCACCTCAGTTTATCTGTATCTGTAAAAAGCAGAATATTGGTTCTAAATAATCTCTAAATCCAGGTTACAATTCTGTTCCCCTTTTTATTTATGAAATCTTCTTACTTTAAGGTACAACTGTAACCGCTATAATGAGGATGATGCAAAGGCAGCAAGAGATGCACAGGAGGTAAGTATACTTATTTTGGGATAACAGTTGAATAGAATGAGCATTGTATGTTTATTAAGGAATAAATTAGCAGGAGTTTTCAATTTTAAAAGATTCATGGGAATATATCCCAGTAAATACTGGGTATCTATGTACATTTATAAAGGGAAACTTATCCAAAATGCATATCAGGAGCATTTCTATTTATTTGTGTCTGCTTTCTTTTTATCTAAACATTCCAGGTTTTAGTAGTCATGGTGTCAAGATTTTCCCTCCCCAACAAGGAGACTAGAGAACAGTAATTGTTCAATAGTCTGTTGCTATTTATATGCAGTCTCACTTATTTTTTATTATTTTTTTTTAACCTTGTTCATTTTGGAATGGACTACCTCGGGAGATGGGGAATTGCCTATCACAGGATGGGGGACACGACCACTATTATAGAAGGGATTGAAACAATTTGGGTGTAGATTTAGATCCAATAATTTTTGAGTTCCTTTCAGCCTAAGATTCTATCATAATTACAGACTCCTGGCATTCCTTACATGCCATCCATCCCATATTGGAATTCCCTAGTTGTCCCCAAAATATTTCCAAATGGTTTTCCTTGCAATTATTTCACTTTTTTAAAAAAACATTTTTTTTATTAATTTCAGAGAGGAAGGGAGAGATAGAAACATCAATGATGAAAGAGAATCATTGATTGGCTGCCTCTTGCATGCCCCCTTTTGGGAATCAGGCCCAAAACTTGGGCTTGTGCCCTTACCTGAACCCTGACCTCCTGGTTCATAAATCAAAGCTCAGCCACTTAGCCACACAGGCCAAGCTCTTGTTTTACTTCTTTTTTTTTTTTTTTTTTTTTTTTTTTAATTGATTTTTTACAGAGAGGAGGAGAGAGAGATAGAGAGCTAGAAACGTCGATGAGAAACATCGACCAGCTGCCTCTTGCACACCCCCTACCGGAGATGTGCCCGCAACCAACGTACATGCCCTTGACCGGAATCGAACCTGGGAACTTTCAGTCCGCAGACCGACGCTCTACCGCTGAGCCAAACCGGTTTCGGCTTGTTTTACTTCTTAAATATTCTTTTAAATTTTATTTACAATAAAAAAAAAACAAAACACATAAATACAAGAGAGAGAGGGGACGGTGGGAGGGAGAGAGAGGGAGAGAGAAACTTAATCTGTCCTATTGTTAGAAGTGAAACTTCTATGTCTTTTTGTTTGTTTTTTGAGACTGGAAATTTTTATTTTGTATTTATAAATGATAAGTAGTGGTTCATACACTTTCACAATATTTGTGGTCCTTTTAAAGGGGAAAATACCTGCAAATCCCAATATTGATTTAGTTTATATTCATTGTAATTTTACTTAAGTATGTTTAAACATAAAACCATCTGTAGCCCTGGCCAGTTTGGCTCAGTAGATAGTATGTTGGCTGCAGACTCAAGGGTCCCAGGTTTGATTCCAGTCAAAGGCTTGTACCTTGGTTACATGTACATCCCCTGTAGGAAGTGTGCAGCAGGCAGCTAATTAATGTTTCTCTCTCATCGAGGTTTTTGCTTCTCTATCCCTCTCCCTTGCTCTCTGTAAAAAAAATCAATAGAATATACTTTAAAAAAAAAATCTGTAAACTCTTATGCTTTTATACAACTAAACAAAGAGAACTCCAAAACCAATGAAATTCAAGTTAAAATTAATTTGAAAGATGTTTATTAAAATTAAATTACCAGTGATAGCTTTAGATGGTGTAGCTTAGTTGATTGGGCGTTGTCCAGTGTATCAAAAGGTTGTCAGTTTGATTCCCAGTCACAGCACATGCCTGGGTTGCTGGCTCAGTCACCAAGTAGTAGACATGTAGGAGGCAACTGATCAATATTTTCCCCTCCCATTGATGTTTTTCTCTCTCCCTTCTTCTCTCTAAAAATGGGGGAGAGGGGGTTTATTGTTGATGTATTGATTTGATATACGTGGCTGATTTTGAATAGTTTATTACATTTGAATAAGTGTATTGTGAATCAATAAATGAGAAATTAAGAACAAAGAGCTCATAACTTAAGCCAATTATTATCCTCAAATTCCACAATATGATAATACAGGAAGACTATAGAGAAAATGGGATTTTTGTGTGTGTGTGATAAAAACTTAAAATATCTTAGGAACACAGACTTAACTTTATTTACAAAAATAGCATCTGGATGTGTCTTACTACTGGTCTAAGCATTCAGATTTCTTGTTTGTTTTCCAAAGTATTTTCATGTCGATTGGTTTTCTCAATCTAGATTCTGTTGTTTGATTTAAAAGTTGGTTTTATTGCCTGGTCAACTTGGCTCAGTGATTGAACATCGACCTATAAACCAGGAGGTTATGGTTCAGTTTCTTGTCATGTCATATACCCAGGTTGCGGGCTCAATCCCCATTGTAGGATGTGCAGGAGGCAGCCGATCAATGATTCTCATCATTGATGTTTCTGTCTCCCTCTCTCTTCCTCTCTGAAAGCATCAAAAATATGTATATCTATTTTTAAGTTGGTTTTATTTGCAGTGATGGTATGGATTTTCTTTCATGTTAAATTTTAGACCTATTTTAATAAACTGTTTAAGAATTGTTGGTCATAATTAAATCAAGTCCTATACATTTTAATATGGCTATTTAGGTTTTCTGTTTCATCTTGGAAATTTCATCTTGGGACAGGCTTGAAAATATTAGTGCTTTAGGGTGGGTCAGTGGTCGGCAAACTCATTAGTCAACAGAGCCAAATATCAACAGTACAACAATTGAAATTTCTTTTGAGAGCTAAATTTTTTAAACCTCTAACGCCACTTCTTCAAAATAGACTCATCCAGGCCGTGGTATTTTTTTTTTAATCAATCTTTATTGTTCATATTATTACAAAGGTTCCTCATTTCTTCCCCCCTCCACCAGGTTCCCACCCCATCCTCCGCACCCTCCCCATCCCCCATTGTCCTCATCCATAGGTGCACAGTTTATGTTCAGTCTCTTCCTCCCTCCCTTTCCCCGATAGTAAATCCCTTTTCAGATAGTAAATCAGTTACTTAGCATATTCTCATATCAATAATACCTCCACATGCCCAATGATACACTTCACACAAAAGACATTTCCAAATAGGTCAACTAGCCTCATCCAGGCCCCACCCAAGGCACTCACAGATCAACACCCCAACCCTATACTAACTCAACACATCCAGATTTAAGCCTTCATCACTTGATTCAGCAGACCCTCAAGTTCCCGCAAAAGTTTCCAGCCATGTCTGAGAGGCAGCCGTGGGGCAGAGACAGGCGAGGAGTGAGCTGTTCCGGGCCTGGCTGCTCAGGGCCTGGCCTCTGTTGCTCTGGTTCGTTCCACAACCAGCTGCTCCAGGTCTGGTCACTGCCACACCCGACCTGGCTGCTCCGGGCCCGCCTGCTCCGGGCCTGGCCACTCCCAGCCTGGCAGCTGCTGCTCCGGGCCTGGCCGCACCCGACCCGGCTGCTCTGGGCCTGCAGGCCGTGGTATTTTGTGGAAGAGCCACACTCAAGGGGCCAAAGAGCCGCATATGGCTCGCGAGCCGCAGTTTGCCAACCACGAGAGTAGGTAAAATGCCAGGAAAATTATTTTTCATTTATGTATTTTTACATCTAGTTGCTTTAATTTTAGTATTAAGATACATAATGACAATTTTTAATAATGATTGATGTAATTGGCATAATTCTCCACTGTGTAAGCATTGGTTTTGATACCTACCTGACTCTTGAAGTAGCATGGCTTGTATAGATTTTTTTGAGATGTTTCAGTGTTGTATGATATAGATCATGTTAGTAGTGTCTGTGCTATTAATTAGCTTTAAGGCATGAGGAGAGGAAGAGAGAGAAGGGGATGGTAAAAGAAAAGAAATATGTATCTGGTAAGAAACCTTTTCATAGTGGTAGCATGTAATAAACATTTTTATAATCATTTTCTACATATTAGGTATACATAATAAGATTACTTTTTATTTTATTTATTTTAAAACATTTTTATTGATTTTAAAGAAGAAAGGAGAAGGACAGAGAGAGAGAAACATCAGTGATGAGAGAGAATCATTGATCGGCTGCCTCCTATATGCACCCCCACCCCCATCATCCCCACCTGCCTTGGGGTGGATGGGATCGAGCCTGTAACGCAGGCATGTGCCCTGACTGGGAATCAAACTATGACCTACTGGTTCATAGGTCAAAACTCAACCACTGAGCCATGCTAAGATTACTTTTAAAAATTCTGGCTCCTCTGGAGATATACGCTGTAATGGAAGAGGCCTATGTAAATTATTTTTACAGTGTGATAAATAATATAAAGCAAATCTAGACCAGATATTGTGTTGTTTCTTTGGTATTATTTCATCTGATTAAAGTTTTTTTAACTGTAACTAAATACCAATTGTTTGTATATATATTTATTATATATTATAGCATATTATGTTTAAATTATACTCTATATAGTTTGAAAGCAATACTTTGTTAGTATTGTCAACTCTCCAGTGTTCAATTGTGCCATTTATTCCATAATTTTTTAAAATAATTGCTTCAAATCAGAATCCACACAGGACCACAAAATGGATTTGATTGATATCTCTTGAGTCTCCTCTAATCTTTATATCCTCCCTCCTTCCTTCTCTCCCTCCCTCCCTCCTTGCCTTTATTTGTAGGGGAAACTACGTTATTTTGCCTTATGGTATTTTTCATATTTTTTATTTTGCTGATTGCAACTCTCTGGTGTCATTTAATAGGTTCTTCTATCCTGTATTTCCTGAAAGTGATGGTTAATTCCATATTCTTAAATTCAGTCTCAGTTTGGTGAGGAAGGTGGTATGGAAAGGACATAAAACTCTTAGCTGTTTTACAGTATATCGGGAGTTATAAGGTGTCTGTTTGCTTCTCTGTTTTCTAATTTAAAAAATTTTTTTGATATTAGAAAGAGAGGGGAAGGGAGAAAGAGAGAAACATCAGTTTGTTGTTCCACTTATTTATGCATTCACTGGTTGATTCTGACCAAGGATGGAACCCGCAACTTTTGTTGATAGGGATGACACTTGCCAATTGAGCTACCTGGCCAGGGATGCCTCTCTGTTTTTTACTTCAAAATATTGATGCTTCTTTCTTATTTTATATTTTATTGCACAGTGTAAAACAGTGATATTCCATAGAATTTTCTATAATGATGAAAATGTGCTTTATTACCACTGTCCAATTCAGTAGCCTCTGACTACATGTGGCTATGACTACTAAAAAACTGATTTTTTTCCCCCCCCTATCTGGTTTGGCTCAATGGATAGAGTGTCAGCCTGTGTACTGAAAGGTCCCAGGTTCGATTCAGGCCAAGGGCACATGCCTGGGTTGCGAGCTCTATCCCCAAGAGACAGGCAATCAATGATTCTCTCACATCATTGATGTTTCTCTCTCTCTCTTCCTCTCTTAAATCAATAAAATATATGCATTTTTAAAAAGAACTGAATTTTTAATTTTAATAGGCACATGTTTCTAGTGGCTGCCATATTAGAAAATACAGCTATGAGACATTCAAAGCAGAATTAAATAAAGCTAGCAGAAAACGTCTGTTTTCCTGATTTTAGCCAAAATCCTATACTTTCATCAGTAAATGTGATTATCAGCTTTTGTTTATATATAACACATTTGTCATAATTATGTAACCTTAATTTTTCTTATGTGTCAGCGGTCTAGGGCAGCCCTGCAGAGATACCTGTTCTATTGTAATCGCTATATGAACCACATGCAGAGTCTACGCTTTGAGCACAAACTGTATGCTCAGGTGAAGCAGAAAATGGAAGAGATGCAACAGCACAACATGTCCTGGATTGAGGTGCAGTTCCTGAAGAAGGCAGTGGATGTCCTCTGCCAGTGTCGTGCCACACTCATGTACACTTATGTCTTCGCTTTCTACCTCAAAAAGAATAACCAGTCCATTATTTTTGAGGTAAGAATAGTTACTGAGTGGGAAAAGGACCCGCGTTGTGTTATAGGACTATTTGGTCTTTCATAGATAAAGATATAGAAAGTTTTAAAGGTTTCTATCCGTTCAAAAAGTATAGATTAAAAATGTATTTATTAGGAAAGCACACAAAATTTAAATTTCTTGTCCTAAACTACATGCAAATTGATATGTGTTAGTCACCTAGCTATTAATTGTATAGACTTGAGTCAGCCCTGAACTTGAATTTTGACTACATTACTTATTAGCTCTGTTGACTTGGAGCAGATTACTTAACCTCTTCTATATTAAAATGGAGTTAATACTTTTCTAAGATGTTATATAAGGTTTAAATAAGACAACCCGCCAAAACCGGTTTGGCTCAGTGGATAGAGCGTCGGTCTGCGGACTGAAAGGTCCCGGGTTTGATTCAGGTCGAGGGCATGTACCTTGCTTGCGGGCACATTCCCAGTAGGGGGTGTGCTGGATGTGGCTGATCGATGTTTCTCTCTCATTGATGTTTCTAGCTATCCCTCTCTCTTCCTCTCTATAAAAAATCAATAAAATATATTTTTAAAAAAAGACAACCCATGTAGATTATTTATATATCACCTGAAATGTCATAATTCTCAAAGCCTTTTTTCAGACAAAACTAATATGTGGTATTAGAAGTTGATATGGTGGTTATGTAATGACTTAAGGAGGCTTTAAACAGTAAAAGATTTTCAAGAAGATATGTTCATTTAAAACTGATACAAGAAACATTGGTGTTGTTAGATGACTAGACAGTAACACTGACTAGCAGATGGGAATTTAGATGGGTAAATGTATAGAGTAAGAGATAATATTTTAATCTTCCATACAGCATTCTCCTATAAGAAGTAGGTACAGCCAGACATAAGCGAGAATGGGTTTCTATTTATTCCTCAAGTTCCCCTTTTAGTTTTAGCAAATAGCAGTTCTCAAAACTAGAAGATTCCTAGAGACTTTTTAAGTAATTTCAAATTGTCCTTGATATTCTTTCAGAGGTAATGGGTAAATCTTTAGTTCTTTTAACATTTAACAAATTGTCTTTGAAAAGATAGAACAAATTGTTAGAGGTAAAAGCAATAAAGAGCTTTACAGGTGCAGTTAAAATCACATGTAAAAATTATGGAATCTGTGTTGAAAGCAGTCAATAGGCAAGGAAGCAGCTAAGTTGGTTTATCTTTCAGCTTTTATTTATTTATTTATTTATTTATTTATTTATTTATTTTCCTTTAATCTTTTTAAAGTATTACATATGTCTCTCTTTTCCCCTATTGACCTCTCTCCCCAAGCACACGCCCTCACCCCTGTAGTATCTATGTCCATTAATTATGCTTATATACATGCATATAAGTCCATTGGTTGATCTCTTACCACCACCACCACCCACCCTCTCCTGCCTTTCCTCTGAGATTTAACGGTCTGTTTGATGCTTCTCTGTCTCTGGATCTATTTTTGTTCATCAGTTTATGTTCATTATATTCCACAAATGAGTGAGGTCATTGGATATTTATCTTTCTCCAACTGGTTTATTCCGCTTAGCATAGTGCTCTCCAAGTCCATCCATGCTGTTGCAAATGGTAAGAGTTCTTTCTTTATTACAGAAGTGTATTATTCCATTGTGTAGATGTACCACAGTTTTTTAATTCACTCATCTGCTGAGGAGCACTTAAGCTGTTTTCAAATTTTAGCTATTGTAAATTGTGGTGCTGTGAACATAGGGGTACATATATCCTTTCTGATTGGTGGTTCTGATTTTCAATTTTATTTTGAAGCCAAAATTTACTATATGTTTTTCCTCCTCTTGCAGAATAACCAAGCAGATCTAGAGAATGCCACAGAGGTGCTTTCAGGCTACCTTGAACGAGATATTTCCCAAGATTCTCTACAGGATATAAAGCAGAAAGTACAAGATAAGTACAGGTGAGATTTTTTAAAAATAGTTTTTAAGCAAAAGATTCTGCTATTAGTAGTCTGGTATGCCTTAATGGTGAAGATAGATGATAGTGAAACTAGGGTTTACTTTCCAATATAACTGTGCTGCTCATAGATTATATCTGTTCTTTGGGCGACAAACTGCAAATAGTGCTAGTTAAATGTAGCAGAGGAAATCAGTCATGTACACTACCAGCAGATTTGGCTTCTTCCTTTCAACTTTATTGTACCCTGCAAGGAAAAGTTTAAAAAGAGCAAGTGGTCATTAGGATGAGTGGTGAGGTTAGGATGCTGGTCATATCCTGGGGATCCTGAGGATCATGGCTGTTGACAAGTGAACTACCCAGGCTTTCTTTAGAGTTCTTATTAGATTTTTTTTCCCCCTAAGGAGAGATTTACTTTGTCCCAGGGATATATGATATTTAATGATATGCTACTCTTAAGCTATAAATATAGAATGTTTGCTTTCTCTACATGGAGGTTACCCTCCCCCCAAAAAAACAAACAAACGAAAACACGCCAATAGCAGTATCTTTTTTTAAATTATTGATTTCAGAGAGGAAGGGAGAGGGAGATAGAGATAGAAACATCATTGATGAGAGAGAATCATTGATCAGCCTCCTGCACACCCCACACTGGGGATCAAGCCTGCAACCCAGACATGTGCCCTTGATTGGAATCGAACCTGGAACCCTCTATGCTCTATCCACTGAGTCAAATCAGCTAGGGCTAGCAGTCTTTTGAATAGTAGTAGAAACCTTTGGGAATTTGGAGATTTAGTCCTAAGTAACATTTTTAGCCTGCTACATTGTGCTTATGGCAATTTCGCAGTTAACAAAGATTTTATAGATCTGGAGAAAAATAATCCATGAAATTACTTTTGCCTGAAACTTACTTTAGGTAGATTGATAGGATTAAATCAGATGATTTCTGATGTCCTTGGGAATTTTTTTTAACATATTGCTTTAAAATTAATTCCCCAAAATGGGAATCACAGCTCTTAAAAATTATCTTTTTATTTTTTTATTATTAGAAATAGTTTATTGTATTTTTACATTTAGACCTGAAAATATGCTACTAAAAACAGGTGCTTAGTTCTTGATAATATGTAGGGGTGGCCTAAAGAATAAGTAAATGCTTTTTGTTGTTGTTGTTTAATTACTGGAAGCTAACAACATTTTCTTTTCCTTTGATTATAGATACTGTGAGAGTCGGCGAAGGGTTTTGTTACAGCATGTGCATGAAGGCTATGAAAAAGATCTGTGGGAGTACATTGAGGACTGAGAATGGCCCTGCATAAAATGAACTCTGAAAACTTTACCATCTAGAGTGTTCATGCAATTTAAACAAACAAAACCAACACAAACTAGGAGGCACTAAGCCCATTCTGACACTGCTGGTCTGTAGTACCAGAATTCTGTTTTGTTAACGGAAAATTTAAGTAAATTATATTGTAATAAAAAAAGGTAGATAAACCATTGTACAACAGTATTGTAGGCCGCCAACAAAAGTGTGACAACCTCACTGAAAGCCCTCGAACTTTAATGTGTAGCTTCATTCTCAAAGCTGACTCCTTTTTCTTTCATTTTTTCCTGAGTGATATTAGTTAAAATTTGACACTGCTTTTCATGCCCAGCCCGGTCTTTTTGTTGTACTTTGGTAAAGAACCTCTTCCTTTTCATCCCCTACACATACAAATACACCCACACTCAGAGGCTGATGCTCTTTCTCTCATACCCCAAAGTAATGAGTTAGTTCCTTGTAAAGAAAATTCTTAGGGTGGGAAGGAGTTAGGCAACAGGAGGAATAAACAACAAAAACAAAGCAAAAAAAAAAAAAAAAAAAAAATTTGTATACGACTTTTAAAACAAAAGGACAACACAGTATTTTTCAAATTTGTATATAGTGCATATGCATGGACAAAGCAAGTGTGGCACGTGTTTGCATAATGTTTAATTACCAAAAAAATATTTATTCTTTAAAAATCTTCAAGATTATGTCTATTTGCTGTGCTTTTTTTTTTTTTGTGCTTTTTTTAATTTTTTCTCAGTTTTCTTATCTTTCCAAAATTGGATGTTGAGATAAAATACCTGTTGGTTTGGCACCTCTTCAATTTTTTCCTTTCCTGAGATTATTTTGCCCTTTCTGGTTTTGATATGTCTGTTGCTGGCCATGGGTCTCATGCCTTGAATTCCAAGTGCTTGATGAGGACCAAGGAGGTCAAGTTCTGACAATGCTGTGGCTTGATAAGGGCTGCAATAGGAAGCTTAGTTGCTACAGTTCAAGGAGGACCCATTTCCCAGCCTCATCCCCCTTCGTGGCCTCATACATTTACTTAAGCGTTCGTCTGCCCATGTTATGCACATCAGTGAAGGCTTCCTAGGTTCCCTATTCATCCAAAGGAAACATTTCATTTTTTCCCCCTTTAATTGCTGCTTTTGAGCCTCTTAAGATTTTAGTTATGGCTCCTCTCTCATACTTTTTTTACAATAGTATGTCAAATAGAATGTTTTTGCTATAAATATAAATAAATAGGCATTCACTTAGTTTCAGATTGTGAATTTAAAATGGCAGATACTAAAATGGCTTGTGTGTATTGCTCTGGGTTCAGTTTGAAGGCAAACGCCCCTAGAACATGATATTCCCATCTAGTGCATTTAAACCGACTGCTTCTTTTCTGTAGCCAACAGATAGGAAAATTAATGCATTTTAGCTGTGATGTCCATTTTTATGAAATTTTTACTAAGAGCTATGTTAAAAGTAAAGGATGGTTTTATTAATTATATACCTGTTTAGGCCATTCTGGCTGTGGTATTTTCAACAAGTCGGCATCCCTAGCTAAATCTGTCAGTTTTATACAGGAGTGCAGAGTGAACCAGTTTGGATCGAGGACCTCTTTGTCTTCCTTTAAATGTCTTATGCCTAGGGAGTGTTTGCCACTTGTGAGGCAATTCTGTCGGCTCTTACATTGTATAGCTTATTACTCCATTGGGAAGTAGGTTCACTTTCCTCTGACCTTTTGCCTAAGTTAGGCTTTGCTGAATCAACCCACTTTTCCTTTTAGAAAAGGTTACTTGAGATGTATTTGCAACTGTTCTTATCCCATCAAAAATTAGTAAATGTTTGCTGAGTACATTATGCTGCTTCCTTAAACCACTTATCACTTTAGAATCAACCTTTCTTGTACCTTTAATCCTCTCTCCCTTGCCAACTCAGGTGCAATTCTGAACTCAGTGTGTTTCTTCAGTGTCCTTTCTCCCCCACCACTTATTTAATTTTCTTTTAAATGACTGCATCAATCTTAAAAGGCATTTATCAAACTAAGCGGGGGAAATTTTTTAAGCAAGCTTGATTAAGTTCCTTTCCCTGGTAACTGAAAAGCAGCCAGAGTTGCTAACTAGATATATGTGGCTTCCTTAATCAAAATGTTTTGTGAATATGTGGTGGTTGTGTTTTGTTTTGTTTTTTTTAATCTTAACCAGGTAACTACAATATCTAGGTTTGAGTGTCATTACATGCTTCCCCTTACAAATACCTACAAACTGTGTGTGCACTTCGTAATTTCAGCTCCTACCCGTGGAGGAACAGTGCTTTTTAGAGATGCTTTCTAGTTTCAATGTTGGCATATGATTTGAGGGTATTGCAGTTATGGATCAAGGTGAACTGGCCTTTTCTACTTCCAATCTTTAACAACTATCTCCATATTTGACAGTATTCCCTGAGTTAATTGCTTTTATTGTTAGTAACTTCTTTTACCCTAGCTGGGATATAGGCAAGCCATATTGTATGACAGCTTCCCCATTTCTCTTATCTGAGTCTTTCTATCAAGAGGGCTCTATTCATGGTAAGCACCAGGGTCTCACTGTCTTATTGAGGGCAGTTACATTGTCTCTTGAAAAGTGCATGCTTCATTTGAACAATTTATTGAGCAGTAGATGTACTTGAAATGATTTATAACAAAATATTGATCCAAAGCTCAGGACACAAACCACAGTGGTAAAACTGAGTAGCATATGATATCATCAAACTAAATTATGTGTAATTTGCTGCAACCCAGATTGTATGTGTTTAAAAACATATATTAAATACACGTGTATACATAAACACATATAACAGATCCAAGACTGACTGACTTGATTTGAAATGGTTGAATCTGCAGTGTAAAATGTGATTCAGCCATAGAAACTGAAATTTAGTACCAGAGAGAAAAGAACTCTATGTAACCAAGTCTTTTAGTGGTAAATCCTGGTTATAGAGCACTTGGAAAATGGGAGGGGTGGGTTGGTGAGACAATCAGATCACTAAATTGATTAAATGCTCCTAACCCTGTAATTCTGTGCATAGGCATCCTATGCTGTAGGAATAACTGTTCATTGTAACTGGACTGTTCAGGTTACCCAGAGGGAAAGAACATTCCTAATTCTAATAAAATAAAACTTTTATTTTGTTATTCCATTAGTTACTTATGTTTATTTTTATAGTTAAAAAAAGATATACTGGTGGTCTAACACCTGTATTATGATCTTTATACACTGTTCCTACTTAATATAATGTTAAGATTTGGTTTAGTTTCTTTGCAAGGAACTGTGAATGAGACCATCCCCAACAATTAACTTGGTTAATGAAACCTTCAGAGCATTTTCTGAAAGCTTTTCAATTTCTGTGTCTTGAACATTGACTTTAGATTGCTATTTGTCTTGTAACAGTGATACATAGGAGATGCTTAGTATATCTTTGTCAGTTTTTTAAAGATAAAATATTTTAAAAGTCATTCTCAACCTCAAAACTCGTTATTTCATTGAGCTCACTCTTCAAAGCTGATATTTCCACAGGGATAGAGAGAGTTGTCTTAAAGAAGGTCCTGGGTTGGAGATCTTTGTCATTGATACTCTAGCCAAATCCAGATTTTAGGACAATTCAATTTGGTCTTATTTGGATCTTTAATAAGAGAGCTTATCATTTTATCTTCAAAGCACTTTAATTTATGTAAAGCAACTGGGGTAGGAATTGCTCTGTTACAAGAAGAAAATAAGGCTCACTAAGAAAGTACCTTGTTCAAGATTTCACAATTTCTTCTATCTGGGATTCGATCAATATTATATTACCTTTTTTCATCATTTTCTTAATCTAGTCTCAGAATCACCTAACTAGCAATCAGTACCAGGAAAGAAGGTATTTGGTCTTGGTTCTAGTGGTGTGCTATTAAACCACATCAGAGAGTCAGTCTCTCTCTCTCTCTCTCTCTCTCTCTCTCTCTCTCTCTCTCTCTCTCTCTCTCTCTCTCGTGTGTGTGTGTAAATATATCTATAAATGTCTTGGTTCTATTGGTGTGCTATTAAACCACATCAACTTTCTGTGTGTGTGTAAACATATGTATGTTTGTTGCTGCTGCTGTTAGAGGAATGCTATATATTATCTCTGAACTTTAATTTGTTGCAGTTTGCAACTAATGTGGCTCTGTTTTGCCCAAAGAAACGAGGCATGCATAGTTAAAATAGTTCTTCCCATCTTGCTGATTGGGACAGTCCTCATGAGAAGGTTGTCACATGAAGTAGTTGAGTAAGTGGTTCAGCATCATTTGATTTGATAATGGTCAAACAATTTATAGTTGTTGGTCTAGTCATTCAAATGAATTTACAATATAAAGAATTTTGAATAGTCATCGGGAGCTTTTTACAGAATTTTTTTCGTAACTGGTAAAACAGAACAACTGTTAGCCATTTGTTCTCAGCACTCTGTAGAGCTTTAAGATTACAAGTAGTGAGCATTTGGGGGAAATCTTGGCTACTTTAGAAACAGGAAAAAGTGGGCCCTCCGATTTTGTTTTCAGGTTTTTTTGTTATATTTCTGGTTTTATAGAATTTTCTTCTCGCAATTATTCAAGATGAAATAGCTAATGTGGAAGAGCTCAACTGGAACTAATTAAATTGTGCCTACTGTAAGAGTAAACAGTAATATAACTTACCATTTTTGTCAAATTAAATCCAGTTTTCAAGACAACTGTTAATCTTTTTTTAATCATTTAGGGTGGGGAAAAATAATAGATTCTTTTGAAAGGCAGTTTTCAGGTTATTAAACCATAAATAGGCATTTTAGGCTATTTCAGGGTTGGGGCCAATTATTATATAAATCAACCATACATTGATATGTAGCAGCTACAATACCAAAAGCAACTTTATTGCCACATGAATTCAGGAGTCTCAAATTCAAATGTCGACAAGAGCCAGCTAAATATTTTAGTAGATTATCCTCAGCCAAATGGACTCTGATAAGGAGCCTGTGAA